ATTTAGAAATTTTTCTTTAGGCCCATTTCTTTTTCCTTTTCTTTGTGCCCATTAAATTTTGATTTTCGAATTTTTTTTATTCTGCTGGCTGAGAAACGACGCCGCTTTGCCATCGCCAACATTTGTTGACCTCCGCCGTTGATTAGTCTGCCGCCCCGCCGCTGCTCCACCCGATGCACCTGTACCACGGCACCGCTTTTTTCCTCCAATAGTATGCGTCGCCGCCCTCCTCGTCTCTATCTTCAATTTGTGGGCTGTCATATATATATATATATATGGGTTTTCTGCATTTTCAGAATTAGCTTTCATCTTTTCTCTTCGCATTCAACCGGTTCCAAGATTCAACCTTTTTCCGATTCCTGGATAACTCTTTCGTTACTGTCACAGGTTAGGACACTAAATTTACTTATTTTACTGATTCTTTCAACTTTCTTTAATTAATTACTGGAAAACTCATGTTAAACCCTCGTTAAGGGTACTGATTCTAATTACGTATCTATCTTGTCTGTGCTTTTTTCTTTTGTTTTCGTTTAGGGTTTTTGTAGTTCTAATTCTAATTTGGTGGGTCAGTTTCAGCCACCGTCGATATGACTACGGCAATGAAGCTGCATCGCACCTCGTCCTCGAGACCGGCGACTCCTCCGCTGGCGTTGTGTAACGATGCCGAATTAGAGAAGAATAGCCCCCTTTTGGAAAGAGAAGAAACGACGCCGTTTGAAGAAGAGTTGCTCTCCAACTTAAAGAAGCGTGGTTTTTAATTGACGCTTTTATCAATTCTCTGCCCAACGCAACGACGTCGTATTGCCTTGGTCATTTCAGTATAAATAGCCGATTCCGGGATTGGGAAAGGCAAGCAATTTCAGAATCTAGTTTGTAGTTAGGTTAGTGTAGCTCGTCTTTTAGCCTAATTTTTCTCATTTTTCCTATCTTTAATCTTGTAATCGAACACAATTTCTGAGCAATGGATTACTGTTATTATGAATCTAATTCGATTCATAACAAATGGTATCAGAGCATCGATGCTGGGAAGGGAAGGGCAACGATGGTTGATGGCAACCCATCAACCAATTCTGGTTTTCCTAGGTTTGATGGACAATACCCTAGGATTTGGTTGTGGAGGTGTAACAGATATTTCCTTGTGAATCCCATGAACGAGCAACAAAAGGTGTTCATGGCATCAATGCATTTAGATGGCAAAGTAAATGTCTGGTATACCGAGTACGCTGATGTCCTAGAATATTTTGGATGGGAAACATTTTCAAATATTGTGAAAGATACATTCAGTGAAGAGGAAGGGGTTAGTTCGGTAGCGGAGTTCAATCGGCTCAAGCAAGTGTCTAGTGTGGAGGATCTATCTTCTGAAATAGAAGGCACAAATGAAGAACACAAGGTGTTCGATGAAATGACAAAGACAAAGTCCAAACTCATCACTAATGGAAAAGAAGAACACTTGGCAGCGGTTAATGTCGGTAAAACTTTATTCATGGAAGAGACTTCTGAGATTTTGGAACACCAAGTGTTTGATAAAATGGCAGAATCAAGATGTGAAGCTTTTGTTGGCGAAAATGAGGATAATCTAAATGTGAATGATGACGATCTAAACGGTGATGAGAGGCAGAAGAAAAGAGAGTCAGAGAAGAACTTTGTCCTTGACGGGGATGATTATAAACTTTTCCGGGAAAGCCACATCTCTGTTCATCGTCCAAAACTTGGAAACAAGAAGTTTAAGGGACCAAAAACGGCTCGGGGGGATACAAAAGAAGAGCCTCCTGGACTTCCAAATCATGAGAAGTTCGATGAAGGTGGAACACACGGGCATACAACTGAGCAGGATCTTAAGCGCAACTTGCGTGGTGATAATGATGGGCAACCACTCGAGGAATTGCTGATGGAGGCTGTTTTGATTGAAGGACGCCATATGTTCAAAAAAATGGCCAAACCGAAACTGGAACGCAATATGTTCGATGAAACAAAATCAAAATTGGAATCCTTTGCCGGAGAAGAAATCAAAGCTTGTTCGGGTGACAAATTTCAAGTGATTTGTTTGGACATGGGTGACCTTGGCGGCAAAATTTGGAATGGGTCGCTAACTAATATTGAGTCAGATGAATTAATATGTTTGAAGAATCTTTTTCCAGCAAATAGATTGAAGTGCGCGAAGCCATGGCGAATGCCACCGGAGCCTCCACCTCTGCATTATGAAGAGGAATTCAACTACTCAACATCAACCTCTATTCAATTTACAAAAGTTATGAAAGAGATCAGCCAACAAGCATATTGGATTAGGGATTTCGTGAAGAAAAAATGTTGTTACAAGTGGTTCGCGAACGACGGAGACTGGTTTTCTAGTCGGAGTAGGTTTTGGGACACTCCACTTTCCATTGGGAAAGAAGGGTGTTGGCCGTGTAATAAATATTTATTTTTTGTTGTTGAGAATGGAGTCGGAAATAGGGAGAGTGGAACGAATATGAGAATTGGAGCTGTGGTAAGCGAGATTTGGACAGGAGATGTCATTTATTGGGAGTTTGGTGATAATTTTGTGTCGGCTGAATTGGAGGATATTTTCTTCAATTTGTCTCCTGCTGAGTTACTTCCTGGAATACCCTTGTCTAAACCGGCTGAGAAGTTGCTCTTGGCATATGCTAGACCAGCCTCAAATGTTCGAATTAAACATACCTCAAAAGGTGGTGACAATTTTCAAGCTGAAATAATCTCGTTCGTGGAACTCGCAGCTACTTCAAGTGGAATTTCCCATAAATTGCATGAATGTGGTGTTTTATGGAGCGCCCTTGAACGATCTGTTTGTACTCTGAAGCTTACCATTGTTCTTGCAAAAGGCATGTTTCGTATATTCTGGATTGTAGATGAGAAAACCGTTGCCTCCTTTAAAAAGCTTGCAGCAATTCCTCGAATGCTCAAGGTACAAAAGTCTAAAAGATTTTGCTCTCCAAGTGCTTTAGCCGAAAGCACTTCCTGTGAAGCGGCATTTCATGATGTCCATGAAATTTCTTTAACACTTGAGATGACTTGGAGTGGGGCGAAGTGCATGAAAAAATTGATGGAATTGTTTGCAAAGTACTTCTCATTATCAGATGATGCAAAATTTTCCATTTTGTGCACTTCTATGTGTATCACTTTTATGTTTGACTTGTTTTGGGAAGAGGGCCTAAGAAGTGTTATGCTCAAGTATGTTCTCGAGTTTAAGAAGATCGTCCCATTGTCCGAAGAGGATCAAAAGGCAAAAGTGTTCATGTGCTCCAAGTACCTGGAGACATTCACACAATTGGACGAACAAGTTAATAATTTCGCGGAATTGTCAATTGAGCTACTAGCTGAAAATGAGGAGAAGTTGATTCTGAATGTCATCCAAATGGTGACTTGCTTGCTGTTGCAGAATGAAACTTCAAAAGTTGTTTTTAATGTTCTTGAATTTTCTACATCTCACGGTGAAAAAGAATTAGTTGTTTGCTTGAGTGATGATGGTTGTAAGTTTTGGGGCATGTTGGTGTCTAATCTTGAAAATGACATGGGTAGTCTTGATAGCAATAGCTCGTTTATACCAAGACGCCGCCCTCCGCCGGAGCCACCGCCGGTTACTAGTTGGAGTTATCTCACTGTAATTATCGTTGCTCATGATCCATGCCATTAATTTAAAAAATGAAGTGGGGCCCTTTGACAAAGAAGCTAAGGAGGGATCTAATGCTCGGATCCTCGATGCTCAATATGTTATAGCCTTGAGGACAAGGCTGTCATTAAGGGGGAAGGAATGTAACGATGCCGAATTAGAGAAGAATAGCCCCCTTTTGGAAAGAGAAGAAACGACGCCGTTTGAAGAAGAGTTGCTCTCCAACTTAAAGAAGCGTGGTTTTTAATTGACGCTTTTATCAATTCTCTGCCCAACGCAACGACGTCGTATTGCCTTGGTCATTTCAGTATAAATAGCCGATTCCGGGATTGGGAAAGGCAAGCAATTTCAGAATCTAGTTTGTAGTTAGGTTAGTGTAGCTCGTCTTTTAGCCTAATTTTTCTCATTTTTCCTATCTTTAATCTTGTAATCGAACACAATTTCTGAGCAATGGATTACTGTTATTATGAATCTAATTCGATTCATAACACGTTGATGGGGGTGGATGGGGCAGCGATCCTGATTTCTGTGATCCTTTCGACATTGCCAACACCAAAAACGCCTCCCATGAATCGCTCAAGCGCTGGAGGGTAAGATTTCGCCCGCGTGTGTTTGTTTATTGTATTGCATTTAATTATCACATGCAATAAATCGTTTGTTTTCATCGTAAAATGTGATGTCGTTGTTGGTGATTCTTTTATGGCCTCTGTTTTGGTTTCATGCACGTGACGTTTCGATTACCCGATCCCATAATAGTGCATCTTATTTTTCTGTTTGGAGGATAAGTTAAACGGTTGAATGATTAGTCGTCGAATTTATCGTTTTTGCTTTTATGGTTATGGAATTTAAAATCACTTGAAATTCGATGAATTACATGCATGTGCACCTCTTCTGATTGTCTAAGTCTTGGTCCTTTTGCAGCAAGCCGCCCTCGTGCTTAATGCTTCGTGATGTTTCCGCTACACGTTAGACCTGAAAAAAGACGAAGAACAAGAAAAGAGAAGACGGATGATCAGAGCACATGCTCAGGTCATAAGGGTAATATTAAAACACATTAGTCTTCATTCCGTACTTTTATTAATTCGATTCTTGATATTCTGGTGTCGGTGGTTGTAGGCTGCACTGCTCTTTAAGTTGGCTGGACAACGAGCAATAGGTATTTTTCAAGCGTTGCTTCTTTTTAAGCTGGTTTTCTTATTTCCATCTCTGCTACAAACCTGATTTAATTTTCGTCAATTCAGTATTAGGCACGACAGTAGATCCACCATCTCCTAACGGTGATTATGAAATCGGCCTCGAGCAACTTGCTTCGATGAACAGGGATCATAATATTACAGCACTGCAACAATATGGAGGGGTAACACTTCCTTTTTCCCTTCACCATCTCTCTAGGAAGTTTGCTAACATATGCTATATGCATAAATATTAATCTCGACCGTCATTTTATTCAGGTTAAAGGGTGGGCAGAAATGATAAAAACAGACGTCGAAACAGGGATATACGGTGACGAAAATGAGTTATCACGAAGAAAGAATGTTTTCGGCTCGAACACGTATCCCGTGAAAAAAGGAAGGAGTTTCTTGGTAAGACTTGTCTAGAGTGTTATATTTTTTTGCTCGGATGTTCTTACTTATACATTTCCACCATTTACTTATTCGACGTTTGTTTTTGCGCAGAGGTTCCTATGGGAGGCTTGGCAGGATCTAACTCTCATTATTTTAATAATAGCCGCCTGTGGCCTCTTTGGCTCTCGGAATAAAAACTGAAGTTGGCTTGAAATACAACAATACCATATTACTAAAGAATTTATATAATTTCCTTCATATAGAATTTAAGAATAGCTCGTGTTTTCCAGGGCCTGGAGGAAGGATGGTACGACGGAGGAAGCATCACCTTTGTTGTTCTTCTGGTTATTTTTGTTACAGGTTAGAAAATTCAGATTGGTTATTTATAACCTTAGGAGAGAAGTAATATAATTTTCACTTTTTATCATTGCATCTGTTGTTCAGCAACTAGTGATTACCGGAGTCCCTCCAGTTTCAAAATTTAAACGAAGAAAAACAGAACATCAAATTGGAGGTAATATTCCAGTCACGCAATTATTCAAGCTTTTACCTTCTTGCTATTGTTCTCTTTAGAGTACTCTCATGGATAAACATATGTACAGATGATCAGAGGTGGCAGAAGAAACAAGGTTTCGATATACGAGATTGTGGTTGGAGATGTCATACCTCTCAAGATTGGTGATCAGGTGATAACAGATTCGATTTTACTCGCTATACTTTCTTGGACCACGCATCATTGTCTAAAAGAGTCTCCTAATGTATTTTACACAGGTTCCTGCCGATGGAATCTTGATAAGCGGACATTCTCTCGCCATTGACGCATCCAGCATGACTGGAAAAAGCAAGATTGTGAGCTGCTTAGACTTTATTTTGAAGGTTTTATAATATTAGATTATTATAATTTTATTTCTCACACACAATGCCATTATTGCAGGTCCACAAAGACCACAAATCTCCATTTTTGATGTCTGGTTGCAAAGTAGCAGCTGGTGCCGGAACAATGATGGTAAGATATAAAACTTTCCCACCTCCAGTAAACGAATTTTCGACCACGCTTAATTTCTGTTCCAATTTCAGATGTTGAATAATTATAACAAGTTCAAATTTCTGTTTCAGGTAACTGGTGTCGGAATCAACACCGAATGGGGATTGTTGATGGCCAGTATTTCAGAAGATACCGGTGAAGAAACTCCTTTGCAGGTACTTATTGGATATAACGGTTCATCTTTTCATTGTTTACTTACTACACGAAAATAAATAAAACCAAGTATGGATCCTGTTGATACATTACAGGTGCGCCTGAATGGTGTTGCAACGTTTATAGGCATCGTTGGGCTCACCGTGGCTCTCTTCGTGCTGATTATTCTCTTAATCAGGTAATTTGGGCAGTGTTTCGTGTTATCTTATTCTACGAGCACTTTCTGAGTATCAGTAACATTGACAAATTAATTACCTCAGATTTTTCACGGGGACGTAAAAAAATCCCGATGGATCTGTTCAGTTCGTCCATGGAGAGACCAGTGTTAGCGAAATAGTTGATGGGGTTATACATATCATAACTGCTGCTGTAAGTTTCTACATTTTGATACGTAATTGCGAATACGTTAGATAACCTTTTTTTTTCTGTTCATTGACTGAAGTCCTTCGTTTAGGTCACGATAGTGGTGGTTGCAGTCCCGGAAGGGCTCCCGTTGGCTGAAACCTTGACGTGAGTATCATAACTTGTCTTTTGTGTACATCAATTGTTGCCGTTTTGTCCTTATTTTGATTTCGATTTATCTTGAATTTATAACAGCCTAGCATACTCCATGAAAAAGATGATGGCTGACAAGGCCTTGGTATGTCGACTTTACTTCATCTTTCCCAGAATATTTAGTTTATTCAATTGTATTACAGCTTTATTATTAACTCAACATATCTTTCAGGTGCGTAGACTTTCCGCCTGTGAAACTATGGGATCTGCAACAACCATTTGCAGTGACAAGACTGGAACATTGACACTAAATCAGGTTATTTTACTTTCCCTGTCCTTTTTTTTTTTTCCGACTTTGGTGTAACTAACTTTGACAAACTACGTACGACAGATGACTGTAGTTGAGGCTTATGTTGGGAAAAAGAAGATGGATCCTCCTGAAGACGGTGCTCAGTTGCATGCAACAATTTCCTCTCTTCTAGACGAGGGACTTGCACAGAACACTTCCTGCAGTGTTTTTCTATCTAATGTATTCTTTTCATCAGTACATGAGTGCATGTGAGCATGGATTTTTCAAGTCTTTTCGTAAATAAATGTCTGTGCTTCGGAAGGGAGTGTGATCATTAACCGAGTTTTTATCTCTTGTTGTGTTTAGGAGGGTGCAATGGAGGTTTCGGGATCTCCAACCGAAAAAGCTGTCCTTCAATGGGGTGTTAAGGTACTTTTAAGCCGTACGATAGTGTATCTATATTTCCAACTTTTAACACAACTCAGGTACTGACTATCTGTAAGAACCAATATTTTCTTGCAGTTAGGAATGAAGTTCGACGTTGTGAAATCAGAATCCATAGTTCTCCATGTCTCTCCTTTCAATTCCATTAAGAAGCGAGGGGGTGTTGCAGTAAGAGGAAAGGTAACGATTCATTTATTCGATGCTTTTATGCTCATGTTTATAGCGGTTCTTCTTCTTTGTAGGTGAAGTAAAAATAGGTGTTTCAGTTTTGCACAAAAATAAACACATAGGTGCCTCGAGCAAATTATTCCTGCATTAAGATTTAATCGTTTACTGATCTCATTATAGTTCTGATTTTGGGCAATAGAATATTTTCGATGCCCTTTTTGTTCAACATGAGAGAGAGCTACTAAACTATTTCCGATGCACTGTCGTTCTAACTTTCGTTAAAGGCTACCGGAATAAAGGCATGCGGTACGAAATAAGCGATGGTTGCAGTGTGTAACTGCCTCGGCCCAAGGTTTGAATGTAATTTTTGGCTTCTCGTATTTTATTCGATGTTAGGAAAGTAAAAGTAAATTATGCCATTTTACCTGTCTATGGCTCTGATAGGAAAAATGAACTTCAAGGGCAAGCTGAGGGAGCTCCCGGTGATGGTTATGTCGTCGAAGAACGTTTTGCTCGCACGGATAGGTATTAGCCTATATCAAGATTTTATTATTACTATTATTATTATGAAATATATATTCCTATTTTCAGTATCTAGATTCTTGTATAATGGGAGATGGTTAGTCTAATGACAATGCGGATGAATGTTTTACAAATGGTTTGGAGGGGTATAAATAAATTTCAAGTAGCAGTTATATGTTGCTTGAATTTCTCATTATGTCGAGTTTGCGATTTTCTTTATTTATTCTTTTGGTGCAGGGAAATTATATGACATTGGATTATGATTTATGATTCAAATCTTACGATTCAATTCATTCATACCTGACTCGATTCAAATGTGAAAATAAATTTTAAATATAATCAAATCGATCAAATTTTACGGTTTACGATTACCAATTTGGTTTTGGGAGAAAAGGAATGAATTTACGAAAAAATTAATTTATTATATTATTTATCATAAACTTGGGATAATTACAGATTTTGTCCCTATATTACATACATTTTTTTTTAATTTTGGTCCATAAACAAGAAATGCAACCCAAGTGGGGTCAATTTAAAATTTCTGGAAATCCACTCCCCTGACTGAAACAGTTTTCCTTTTCCTTTTGGTCCTTGAACCATAAATGCACCACTCAATTTGAAATTTCTGGAAATCCAACTACCTGGCTGAAATGTTTTTGAAAATCACAGAATCATCTTCCAATATCGAGTTTAAAATCTTATGATTTACGATTCAAATCTTACTATTCAAACTGTTCATACCTACGTCGATTCAAAAGTTAAAATAAATCTTAAATATCAAGAAAACAATCA